TGAATATATCTATGTCTCTCTCTATATCTCCAAACCACCCCAACTGTTGTCTATTCAACTCCAACTCATGGCAACCACATGTATGTCAGAATAGAACTGCTGCATAGAGTCTTCAAGGTTGTGACCTTTTAGAAGCACATCACCAGATTTTTTTTCTTCTAAAAAAATTACCCTCCTGGTATCACTATTCTCATCATTAATTCTGAGTGGTTTATCCATCCTGGATTACCTGTGTTTCGAGCTCTTATCTGTACCAGTATATATGCTCTGTTCTAACTGGATTGTAAGGTAGAATTGGGGTCATGATAGTGGGGGAGAGGAAGCATGAAAGAACTAGAGGAAAGTTGTGTTTCCTCGATGCTATACTGCATCCTGACAGGCTCATCTCTTCTTAGCAACAATGTAATTTCATGGAGCCTTATAGAGAGTGAATTATTCCATCACGCCAAGAAGTAACGCCACAAGGTAATCTCATGGAGCTTTATAGAGAGTGAATGATATCATGCATGTTGTTTTCTCCAGTGGGCAGCAGGCAAGCTCTTGTAGGTAGACTTCTCTCAATCATTGGCTAGGAACCAGCCCTGAGGCTAGGGGTGGATTGCAGCTGGTGGAAATGTCTATGCACCTCCAACCACCTGCCTCCTGATAGCTATGGACAATTCTGGGAACACTGAAGGTATGACAGTCTTTAGAAGACTATATGCACTTTCTCACTGGTAGAAGAAGTTTCCATTTGAATGAGGTTTGATGTCACCAAATTAATTTTGATATCCTGTCAGGCAAACACATAAATATCTGATTTTTATAGTATTGTATGATTAATTGAAAAAGGTAGTATTTGTGCTGAATTACAGGTGAAGAAACTAAAGCACAGAGAAGCAAATTTATTTATTTACATTGCTTTTCAATGATGTCTGAAGTGTAAAGTGATTTCACAGGTGGATTTCCTGGAAGGACAAAACTTTTTATCAGAAATTATTCAAGTTAGCAAAACACAAATTTCCACTTTTATCTACACTCTTGGATAATCTAGTGGATGATACAACTGGTCACAAAAAAGGCATTTGAACTAAAGAGTTTCTATCTAAATTTGGAACATTAATATTTCCATAGTAAAAATACTTCAATTGAGGTAAAACTACTACCTTAATAGGTGGAATCAGATTAGACTTTGTTCATCTCTATCTAAAAGCCCAACAATTTATGTGTTGAAAGAATTTCAGGTGTTTTATATTTATCCACAATCAACACTCATTGAAGCAGCATTCAAGAAATCAAATGGACAAATCTACTGCATACGATCTCTTTAAAATGCTAAAAAGCAAAGATGTTACTTTGAGGACTAGGGTGCACTTGACCCATGCCATAATGTTTTCAAGCACTTCATATACTTGTAAAAGTTGGACAGTGAAAAAGGAAGACCCGAGAATTGATGTATTTGAATGATGGTGCTGGTGAAGAACGTTAAAAGTACTACGAACTGCCAGAAGAACAAACAAAATTGTCAAAATGTTCCTTAGAAACTAGGATAGTGTGGCTTCGTCTCATGGCCTTTGGACACATTATCAGTAGAAACCACTCCCTGGGGAAGGACATCATGCTTGTTAAAGTGGAGGATCAATGAAAATAAGTCCTCAGCAAGATAAATTGACATCGTGGCTGCAATAATGGGTTCAAACATGCATTAGTCTGGGTACTTTAGAGAAACAAATCCACAGAAACTCATGTATAAGAGAGAGTTTTATATAAAGGTTCAGTGCAAATCAAGAAAACATCCCAACCTAGTGCTGCCCAAGCCCACAAGTCCAAGATTAACCCATATGTCCGACACCAATCCACGCAGTCCACCTCCATCTCACAAAACACACGCTATGATGCCGACTGCAGGAGGAAAGCTGAATCAGTGAATGTGTAAGCATCTCAGCACTGGCAGGGATCTCCACATGGCTGCTCCAGTACACAGGGCTGCATCGGGGTAGGTCCATGTGGCTTCTCCTCAGGGATGTCTTGCAGGAAGTGAACCTTGCCAGCTAAAGCAGGGAACGGGCTAAGGCAGCTGCACCCTGGTGCGATTATCACAAAGTAAGAGACCTGAGAACTCAAAAGGTGACCGAGCCATTTATCTATCTGTCCTTCAATTAACCCCACATGTGTTTATTGGCCAGGTTGGCACAATAAACTTTAACTATATCAAAACATAACAACAGTTGTGAGGTTGACACAGGACCAGGCATTGTTTCATTTTAGTGTACATAGGGCCACTATGAGTCAACTCAACTGCACCTAACAACCACATAACATATCCATTTACACAATGCTTCTGACACCCGATCTGATTAGTTAAATGATGGTCACACATGGAGGAGCTAATGGGTTTAAAGACCTAGGAAATTGCTTAGATAACCATTGAGCTACTATAAGAAATACATGAACTCTTCTTCTACGTGGTATCTTGTTTCTCTAAATTTTGAACAAAATTAACTGAAGTTTTCCTTTAGTAGCATGAGCAATTTTTCCATTGATCCTGGTATTTTCCTTGTGCTAATTGAGTCATTTTTAAAAGCAGTTTTATTACCACCTCATCCACATGTCATACAATTTAGTAATTCAATCATATCAAGAAGATTTGTACAATTGCCATCATATTCAATTCTAGAACAGTTTCTTCCTTATAGCCATTGTTACTTATATAATTATTATTACTTTTTTCTAATTGTCGTAAAAATAAACAAAACAGAACTTTCTCCAACTCTACAAATCTACTTGTATGATTCATTGTCATTGATTAATGCAGTTATATTTTACTGGAAAAAATATCATGCTACTTAAAGTTGATATTTTCCTGGGTAGCCATAATCCCTGATGAGTCAATGGAGATTGCTGGGAAATGGATGGTGAACATTACATGGAGGAGAACTAGTCATTCCTTTTGAGAATGTTCCTCCAATTTGTCTGATAATAAGAGACTTCAGGGATGTGGTTAAAATACATCTTCTAGACCCCTCCTTTGGAGATGCTGATTCAATGAGGTTAGACCATGTCCCTGGAATTTCTTATGTTCAATAACCTACCCTGTGATTTCTGCCATTAGGGAAGTGTGGGAAGTAGCTGTTCTCTGCGGTATGTTTTCTTTTTTTAATTTAAACAGCAACTTCTATTTTATAATAAGAGGGATATTCAGTATAAGGTCATGGGAAAGGGAGTCAAAAGAACTAAAGGAATTTCATCTTTTAAATGATGACCTGCAGTGTGGGAAATTAAATTTTGATGTCTTTTAAGCATTCAACTCACTGGACCAAAAAATGAAGGATTAAAAAACAAAAGGTCAAATTGGAAGAGAGGGCCTTTCTTTTCCTCCTTGTGAGTATAGATGTAGATTTGAGATTGCTCTTAATAGTATTTTAAATTCTGAGCATTCTGCAAAAAAAAGTAGAGAACAAGTCTAACTGATGGACAGAAAACAACTGAGATTCAGGAGCGGTGGATTCGAGGGCTGTTTCCTGCCTGCCTTTTCTCCTCTGTCTTTGTCCACAGGTGAGAAGCTGTAGGACAGTGCAGGGGCAGGCTCGAGGCCCAGCTTGGTCTCCGACGTAGTGGAAAAGGACTGTCTGTCACGGGGCCTTGCCCTGCACTCCTCCCTGGCACCTGGACAGAGGCTGGGGAGAGTGAGCTCCTGGGAGTATCCATGTCGGGGCGACGTACGCTTTTTAAAAGGTGGGTCCCTATGAGTTGACGTCAACTCAAGGGCAGTGAGTTTTGTTTTGAGTTTGATTAGAAACAAGGAGCCTTTGATTTGCAAACATCTCTCATAAACTCTATGAAGGTAGTTCTAACGATGTTTCCCCATCTCTGCTGCGCACCTCACAACTTCCATTCACAGCCACCTCAAATGTATCTGTCCTCATCAGTTAGTCATAGCCTAAAATCCTTCTCATTTAACTTCATTCTCCTGTCACACCATGAGTCAAGGGAGCACGAAACTGTTTTATGTTTCATGCCTACACCAAGCTCTTAATTATTATTATTATTTTTTTACTTTTTTGTACATTCCATTCCCTTCATGGAATGTCTTTTCTCACTAGTTTTCCCACTGGACTGTTATTTCTTTATTAAGAGTTCCAACATTACTTCCTTTCGAAGGCTTCTTCAGCTCTCCTAGGCAGAGCTCATTCTTGCCTCTATGTTCTCTTGGCACTTGGAATTCTCTTATCTTTAGTGCATTATTGTTGTTGTGAGATGGCACTAAGTTCATTCCAACTCATAGAGACCCTATGTACAACAGAACAAGACACTACCCATTGCTGTACCCTCTTCAAAGTAGTTATGCTTAGTGTATCGTCGCAACCACTCTGTCAAGTCATCTCCTTGAGGGACTTCCTCATTTTCCCTCTACTATATCATGTATGGTGTCTGTCTTCAGGGACTAGCTGTTCCTGATAAAATGTGCAAAGTATGTGAGAAAAAGTCTCCCCATCATTGCTTCTAAGGAGCATCTTGGCTCTACTTCTTCCAACATTGAATTGTTCATTATTCTGGCAGGCCAGGGTATATGAACACATGTTGTGTTGTAACTATTTGTTTACTTGTCTTGGTAGGCAGTAAGGACATGGAAAATGTCTTTATTATTTTATCCCAGTGCCTAAGTCAAGGACACAGTAGGAATGTTATAACTATTTGCTGAACACCTTTTAGACCTAACATATATATATATATATACATATATATATAATATTTATTATCAAATGATAAAGATTAATTAATTAATTCATTAGCTCTCAGCATTCATTCATCCTTTGATCCATTTATTTGAGCAGTTATCTGCTAAATGCCCTTAAGGTAAGCATTAGCAATACAGTGATAAGCAAAAATGGCCATATTTTATTTATGGAGTTTGCCATAAATATATTTATAAGATAACTATATGATTATTAAAATGTTTATTCCTTTAAAAATTTCTGAGAAAGATCGGCATATCATAGCTATGAAAGTACATAATGGGGTACCATTGGGAATAACCACTGCTGTCTGTCAGTTTGTCACATGGTGGTGGCTTGTGTGTTGCTGTAATGCTGGAACCGATGTCACTGGTATTTCAAATCCAGGAAGGTCACTCAGCTTCCAGACTAAGAAGAACAACAAAGGACTCGGCTCCCCACTTTGGAGGAAGGAGACACTGAAAACATTCTACAGAGCTTTGAAACACTCTCAGATATTAAAGACCTAATGAATGGCAGCAGAATGGTGTTGGCGATAGCACCAGATGATGGAGCCCATGAGTCCCACTCAAAATGTGATTGTGGAAGGGCTGATTTCTTGGAGTGGAGTCCATCATAGAGACGTGAGGCAGGTACAACCGATGGGCATAGAGCCATCAGGATCTTCACTTGCTGATGGGGCACAGTTCATGGTAAGGAGGAGCAGCTGCAGAATCTGCAAATGACTGGAACTTGGAATGTGCAAATATGAATCTAGGAAAGTTGGAAGTCATCAAGAACGAAATGGAACATATAAAGATCGACAGCCTAGGCATTAGTGAGCTGAAGTGAACTGGTATTAGACATTTTGAATCAGAAAACCATATGATTTACCATGTAGAGTATAACACAACCAAAAGAAATGGCGTGGCACTCATCATCAAACAGGACATTGCAAGATTAGTCTTGAAGTACAAAGTACAAAACTAGTCTTGAAGTACAAAGTCTAGATAGGATTATATCTCTCCACTTTCAAGGAACTCCAATCACTACAACTATTATTCAAATTTTGCAGCAGCCACAAAAGTTAGTGAAGAAATTGAAGAATTCTACCAACAACTTCAGTCAGAAATTCATCAAACATGCAATGAAGTTGCATGGATAATTGTTGGAATACAAATTTGGAAACAAAGAGGAACGACCAGTATTTAGAAAATATTGACTTGGTGATAGAAATTAATATTGAGATCACTTGAAATAATATTGCAAGATTAAGGACTTGTCTATAACAATACCTCCCAACCCCCTCAATAACATAAAAGGTGACTATACAAGTGGACATCTACAGATTGAATACATAGAAATCAAATGAACTACACATCTGTGGTGGGAAGACATGATGATGAAGCCCCACATCAGCAGCTAAAAGGAGGCCATCGGCTGACTGTGCAACAGACCACCAGTTGCTCATATGAAAGTTCAGAATAAACCTGAAAGAAATTTAAAACAAGTTCATGAGGGCATTGATTCTATTCCATCTGAATTTGGAGAACATCTCAATTACAGATTTGGCACATTGATCACTAATGAAGACTTGTTGAGCTTGGAGAGAGCATCAAGACTATCATTCATGAAGAAAACAGAGGTATTAAAAAGAGAAAAGAAAAAAAAAAGATCAAAGTCAGAAGAGAATTTGGAACTTGCTCTTATCCATAGACTAGCGAAAGCATATGGTGGAAATGATGAAGTCAAAGAGCTGAATAGAAAATTTCAAAGGATCTAAGACCCAGAACAAAACCATACCCAAGGTGAATGGGGGGAAGGGCATGGAGTGGAGACCCAATGCCCATCTGTAGACAATTGGACATCCCCTCACAGAGGGGTCACAGAGAAGAAATGAGCCAATTAGGGTGCAGCACAGCAACAATGAAACATAGAACTTAAAAAAAAAAAAGAAACACATACCTTTCTTCTAGCTCTTTGGTGTTTCCTTCACCCCACTATTGTGACCTCAAGTATACCTTACAAATCAGATTAGACCAGAGCATGCACACTGCTACAGATAAGAGCCAGCCACATCCAGTGTAGATAAACCCCTCAGGGCCAACAAGGAGAGTAGAGATACCAGGAGGATTAGGGGAGGGTGGGGACAGGAAGGGGGAATCGATCACAAGGATTGACATATACCCCCTCCCAGGGGGACGGATAATGGAAAAGTGGGTGAAGGGCGACAGAAGATGATGTTAGATATGGGAAAAAATAATCTATGACTTATCAAGGGTTCATGAGGGAGGGTGGGCAGAGGAGGGAGTGGGAAGAATTGGGAGCTGATAATGGGCTCAAGTGGAAAAAGAATGCTTTGAAAATGATGATGGTGGCATATGTGCAAATGTGCTTGACACATTGGAGGAATGTATGGATTGTGATGAGATGTAAGAGCCCCAATAAAAGTATTTTGAAAAAGAATGAAAAAAATAATAATACAGATAATGATAAGTGTTGGCAAGCAAAAAAGAAAGAAAATTTCAAAGGGCAGCTCCAGAAGATAAAGCCAAATATTATAATAAAATGTGCAAAGACCTAGAATTCAAAAAACAAAAGGGAAGAACCCAATAAGTATATCTTAAATAGAGATTACTCAAGAAAAAATTCAACTCTCAATTTGCAATATTGAAAGATCATATGGGCAAAATATTGAATGATGCAGGAAACATCCAAAGAAGATGGAAAGAATACGGAGTCATTTTTACCAACAAGAACTAGCCGATATTCCACCATTTCGGGAGGTAGCATATGATAACAAACCAATGGTGCTGAAGGAAAAGGCTCAAGCTGCCTGAATACATTAACCAGAAACAAGGCTCCAGGAATTGATGAAATAACAATTGAAATGTTTTAACAAGCTGAAGAAGCACTGGAAGCGCTCACTCGTCTATACCAGAAAATGTGGAATACAACTAATTGGTCAACTTTCTTGAAGAGATCTATAACTGTGCCCATTCTAAAGAAAGGTGACCCAATAGAATGCACCGACTATAGAACAATATTATTGATATTGTATGAAAGCAAAATTTTGCTGAAAATCATTCAATAACAGTTGCAGCAAGCAGTACATTGACAGGAAACTGCCAAAGATTCAGGCTGGATTCAGAAGAGGACGTGGAATAAGAGATATAAGTTCTTATGTTAGATCTTGGCTGAAAGCAGAGGACATCAGAAAGATGTTTACTTATGTTTTATGGAATATAAAAACATTAGACTCTGTGGACCATAATAAACTATGGGTAACCTGGAGAAGAATGGGAATTCCAGAACACTTCATTGTGCTCTTGCAGAACTTGAATGTGGATTAAAAGGAAGTTGTGCAAACAGAACTAGGGAACACTGCATGGGTTAAAATCAAGAAAGGTGCATGCAAGGGTTGTATCCTCTCAACATACTTGTTCAATCTGTATGATAGCAAATAATCAGAGAAGCTGGATTTTATTAACAACCTTCCACATGCAGATGACGCAACCTTGCTTGCTGAAAGGGAGGAGGTCTTGAAACATTTGCTGATGAAGATCAAGGATTGCAGCCTTCAGTATGGATTATGAATCAATATAAAGAAGGCCACAATCCTCATAACTGGACCAATAGGTAACCTCATGATGAATGGAGAAAAGGTTGAAGTTGTCAAGGATTTTGTCTTGATTGGATCTACAAGTAATGTTCAAGAAAGCAGCAGTCAAGAGATCAAAAGGACAGATTGAATCACTGGCGGATCTGCTCTAGCCACAGGATAGAGTTGCAATTAGCCTATAAGGCAGAAACCATTCTAATCTTGATTATGCTGGATCGAACTCAATACTTGGCCAATTGATTACCCCATAGATGCAACCTGAATTTGTTCTGGGTGAAAATATCTCTTACTAGTTTCAGGACAGAAATTTCTTCCCTGGCTTTTTGAATGTTGATGGGGGACTTTTCCTTCTTATGCATTATAATTTGTATTTTTG